AATCCGAAGTGCTGTTTAGAATTTTTTTTAGGTTTAAAATTCTTACCTTTTTAGCTTTTAAGAATTTAAAAATTTCTCTTTAGACCGTGATGTTTACTGCAACTATGAGTCCAGCAATTGAGCGATTAGCTCGAGCATATCTTCGACGCCCGGCCGTTGTATACATTGGTTCGGTTGGAAGACCCACGGAACGTGTCGAACAAATCGTTTATATGATTGGTGAAGAAAGCAAACGCAAGAAACTTGTTGAACTGATCTCATCTGATGCATTTGAACCGCCTATTATCATTTTTGTTAATCAAAAACGGGTATATTTTTACAAATAATTACAGCTTACTTAAAGACGGACAAATGTTGATTTCATGTTTAATTTTGAATTTCAACCGTAACTTTTATATGTTGACAATTTCACTCATTTTTCTTTTCTAGGGAGCAGATATGTTGGCTAAAGGCCTGACGAAATTGGGCTTCCAACCTTGTGTTTTACATGGTGGCAAAGGTCAGGATGCTCGCGAATATTCGTTGGCAGCACTCAAAGATGGAACTAAAGATATCTTGGTGGCAACAGATGTTGCTGGACGTGGTATTGATATCAAAGATGTTTCTCTGGTTCTCAATTATGATATGGCGAAGTCAATTGAAGATTATACTCACAGGATTGGTCGGACAGGTAACATTATATTCTTTAATATTTATAAAGTAAGCTAGGATTAAATTCGGGTGCAATATAATTTACTAGAAGTAGAGAGAAATGTGCTGTTGAAAAAATAAAATAAAAAATCACTGGAAGAAATCGCAGTTGAATCCGTCAACGAAACGTCAAGCAAAAAGTGAAGCTCCGAATGGTCTGCCAAAAATAGTCAATTCTTGAATCAGTTGATCTTTATTTTGATCAATTTTGAAGATTCCTAATTCCATACTTCTAGAATTCAATCAGTTTAAAGCGTTAAAATCATCACTTTTTTCTTTACATAATTGAGCTATTGAAAAATGGTCATTATAAATTGAATTTATTAGTTTATTAGTAAATGCAAATCAACAAGAATTAAATTACCTCAGAGATATCTTACTCGTATACGTAAACTGAGAATACCTATGAAAGTAATAAATGCATTGGGAAGATATTACGGTATCATAAATTCTTAGTAGATTTGGAAGTAGCCAATTTTTTCCCCCATTTTCTGAATGCTTTTATTTATTTTGTAATAATAGCAAATACTTTGCAAAGTTTATGCCTGAAAAAAAAAAAAAGGAGCAGACGAATAAATTGTCTTCTTTTCCTTCATCTTATTATTTCATTCGTTCATGAATTTCTTTCGAAATGAAAAGAAAAAAAAATAGAAAAAAAAAGCAGAAAAGAAAAGAACATCTCAACTTTGGTTTTGCTCGCTTTCCCCTATTTATTTTTTGTTTTTTTTTGAGTAGTGACTAAATTGTGTACTTCCACAGTGCAACTTTATTATTTCATGCTGACATACATTCTCTCTTTTTCTTTTCCTTTCTATCTTTTACTTCTTTTTTTGGGAAAAAAAAAAAAAACTTTTCCTTCTTTAAAACGATTTTCATTATTTCAACTGAAAATCATTTGTTATTTCTTTCCTTAAAGCGAAAACGGAAAAAAAATTCGACTTTTTGAAAAATTTCTCGCAAGCACACACTCACATACACACATGCACACGCACACACACACGCACATACACACACACATACATACACACACACATACACACACATACATACACACACACACACACACACACACACACACACACATTCCATTCATCTCATTCCATTAAAAGCTTCACTTTTCCTTCTCATCTTCTTATTTTTTTTCCTTTACTTTTTTCTCTCTCTGTGTTTTTATCTTCTCATTTTCAATTCTTTTTTTTCTCCCCACATTTTATGATGTTGCTAAAGTTTTATTGATTGTTACTGTATAGGATAAGGAAAGATTTTTAAAAGAAAAAGGAAAAAAAAACCATTTAATGTTATGGAAGTTGAGTTGGAATGCAAAATAATTGGTAAAATTGTGATTGATCGATTGATTGTTGGAAATTCAACAGAAAAAATAAATAAAATAAAAGTAAAATAATAGAAGGAAAAAGAAGCAATGAAATAACATTTTATTAATTCGAAACATAAAAGCATTTTTGTCTTTTTTTTTATAATTCACTTTTAAATATCCAACTTTTTTTTTCTTTTCTTTTAAATATTTATTACTTTACATTTCTTCATTTTTCTTTTTTCAAT